AGTCCACTTCTTCCTCTCTCTGCTGGGGCTCTTTTTCCCCTACAACAAAATTCTACATAGGGGTAATATTCTGGATGCTTGTTTTATGCTTTATTTATGGCCTCTCTTTTATCCCTATGATGCTAAAGTCATCAACAATCCTGGAGGTAAGGGCACCCTTGGTGACTTAGTTGGAATGGGGAAGGGAGAATGCCTACTATTTGTTCATGCTGCTGAATGAATACAAAACAGAAATTAATATCTCAATTGTATGTGGTTTTCCAGCCATAGACATGAAGGTGAGTAAGACAGCCCCTGCCTACAGGGATCTCACAACTTACAATAGAGGTCATTAAAATGTAGCACGCAGGAGGGACCCCTGCATCAGAGAGAGGCCAGGGAGGGTTTTTCTGGAGAGGTGGTTATGAACACTTAAATGGCACTGCCTACCTATGTGCCAGGCACTGTTCCAAACAATTATTTATACAGATATAGATTTATAATGGGGCTACAATTGGAACCCAGGCAATCTGGTTCCAGCGTCTATGCCCTAGTCCCTGGCTATCTCCAATGAAACCCGAAGAGTAAGTACAAGCTTGTTTCCCTAATGCTGAGAAAGCAAATCAGGTGAGGAGGGCTGACTAGGGTAAGGAAGGGATTCCAGGAAATTCCCCTGGAAAGTAAACCTTCACTGACAACACCACATGATGGGGAGGATGAAAGTGTAACAAGAGCTCTCATACATCACTGGTGAGAGTGCAAAACGGTGCAGCCACTTTAGAAGACAATTTGGAAGTTTCTTACAAAGCTAAACATACTCTTACCATATGATCCAGCAACCACACTCTTTGGTGTTTATCCAAAGGAGTTAAAAATTTATGTTCACACGAAAACCTGCACACAGATGTTCAAAACAGCTTTATTCATAATTGCTAAAACTTGGAAGCAACCAAGATGCCCTTTAGTAGATGAATGGGTAAATAAACTGTGCTATATGCAGACAATGAAACGTTATTCAGCCCTAAAAAGAAGAGCTACCAAGCCAAGAAAAGACATGGAGGAAACAAATGCATATTAGTAAGTGAAAGAAGCCAATCCTAAAAGTCTACACAACGTGTGATTTCAACTAGGACATTTTGGAAAAGGTAAAGTGGAGACAGTAAAAAAAATCAGTGGTTGCCAGGGGCAGAGGTGGAGGTGGTGATGAACAGGAAGAGCACAGAGGATTTTTAGGGTAATGAAAATAGTCCATATGATACTATAATAGTAGATATATGTCATTATACATTTGTCCAAACCCGAAGAACATACAACAAACACCAAGAGTGAACCCTGGAGTGTTAACGATCTGTTCACATAGGGTCATCAATTGTAACAAATGCACCATTCTGGTGGGGGATGGTGACAATGGGGAAGCATGAATGGGGGGTAAGAGGAATATGGGAAATTTCTGTATCTTCCTCTCAGTTTTGCTGGGAATCTACAACTGCTCTGAAAAATAAAGCCTGTTTTTTAAAAAGTAAGTCTTACGCAACCATCTATCAATTAGATTTTGATTAATAAGCTTTTCTTGTAACATGGAATTATGTCCTGCAAAGAGCTAAATTTGTGCTTGGATTTACACGCTCCTGTGAGTATTTTTTTTTTTTACCAGAAAATCAAATTGCTTTCTCCTACCCTGACTGTAGCCAGGTGAGGAGGCTGCTCCAGAGAGAGGCTTGGGACAGACACCAGGACATGAAGATGACAACACTCTCTTGGAATAAGGTCAAAATATCTGCCACAAGATATCACTGGCCTCTGCTCGACCACATATTCTCTCTGCTACTCTAGGAGCATCCTGTTTTATGCATTCAAAGGGTTTTGCATGTCACAGGCTATGGCAAGCAGTTCTGAAATATTAAAGTACTAGACTGTCTTTCGGGGTGTCTATTATCAGCATTCAAGGGTAAAATAAAAAATGGGCCCCTTTCAAGGAAGACTGGAGACAATCTAATCATGTATAGGCATCTTCATACTTCAAATTTTCTCCATTGGGGCCGAAATTATGATCTTTGGGGCCTGCTTTGCCTCTTGCAGAGTCTTGCAGTCTGAATGTCAAATCCAGATTAACCTAAACTTAAGCCAGAGCTCTAGGTCAATGGCTCCAAAGCTCAAGCTGAGCTGGCAACATGCCTCTCGTGCCAGCAGTGCCAGCTCATGAACAAAAGCAGAACCCGAGCTTTTGCGTGACACCTCATTTAAACCTGACTGCTCTGCTTTTGTGAGATTTGACGTTATTTATTCCTCAGAGAGGCAATGAGTGACTCAGGAGATCTTGTGATTCACAGAGCTTCTCACAAAGCTAGACAGATGGCAAGTGGAGAGCTGGGACAAGTAAAAGGATCGCAGGAAGGTAAGGGCTGTGCTGGCCACCAAGATGCCTCCCCCTACCCCCACCCAAACACACACACACACACACACACACACACACACACACACACCAGGAAACCATCCAGAGCCCCTTTTACCCAGCAGGAAAGAGGTGGTTGTGAATGAGGCCTGAGCTTCCTGTAACCCTGACCTAGCTTTCTATCTGCACTGGGCTTTTAATCCATCCCGGCTCCTTCCCCACGAGGGCCTGCTCCTCAGCCAGCCACACTACACACCTCCCCCCAGTTGCTTGTCTGCATCTCTCTCCCTCCCTTGCTGCCCAAACTTCTGTACCTGTCTTTGAGAAGGAGAGAGAGAGGGGTGGTGAAGCAGAGGAAGGCTGCAGCTCCGGCACATGCAAAAGCATGAGAAGGGAAAACATCAGCCACTCCGTAGGGCCCCAGAGGGCTTAAGTTAGATGTACTGGAGAGGTAGGCAGGAGCTGAATCCTGCAGGGCCAGCTCATGAATTTGGATCTTGCCTGAGGACAGTGCAGGGCTATGAAAATAGTACAAGCTGGAGCCTGTTATGAACACTTTGGCACTTTCTAAATCAACCACATTTTCATAGCGTGAGCCAATAATAATCAACTTCATGGTCATGACCCTGAGGCCCTGTGGGGTACTAAAGCAGAGTCTAAGAAAAGCTCTGTTCAGTGTTATGTACTCCTAGGACCAGATATATTTTAATGCATTATAATCCTTTGGGAAGTGATAAATTCTTTGTAAGATGAACCCATGTCTTTTCTCTCTTACCTTAGAAAGTACCTGGAACAATGCATGAGCACGTCAGGTTTGTCGAACAGATACCAAATAATGAATTCATATAATCCATGCACATTACGTATTTGTAACTTCTAGTTATTTAAGTCAATGAGGGTGGGGTCATGGACTTTATTGTAGCAAGATGTTTGTTAAAGGACAAATGTCATTAGGGCATCTGTTGGACGTACAACTTCTGTGTCTGGAGGGCTATTCATTTTTATCACAAAATCAATCAGAAAGCTGTTCCTTTTAGACCACACAATGGCAGAGGGTTATTTCTGACGTCTGGTAACACAACATAAAGTTAGTAATGAAACTATATCCCCTTTCATTTGGAGGGAGGACTGGGGACGAAAAGGAACCAGTGAATCACATGGAGAAACGTGGTTTGGGGGATCTACTGGGGAACATGCCCCTTCCAGAACAACAGTATCTTGACAGACAGCCTTTCAACACAGGCTCACTCCTTCATTCGTTGACTAGCTATTGATTGAGCCCCTCTTATATCTGAGACCCCAAGTATACAACAGTGAACAAAACAGACACCATCTTGTTCTGTACCTCATGAAGATTACACTGAAGCAGGAGAAACAGGATTGAAACAAATGAACACCTTAACAAGTATATAATAACAACTTGTGGTAGGTGCTATGAAAGAAAGCACTGCTATGAAAGAGAAGGGAGGAGCCCTGCTTTAGGCTGGGTGTGGGTCAAGGCAGGCGTTCATGAGGAACAGTCAGAGAAGGATAAGTCGGGACAAGACTGATGGGGAGGAGACGCCAGGCAGGGGGAGACTCCGTGTCAGGGCTCAGGTGGAAACAGCCAGGTGAACATAAGGAACAGAAAGGAGGCCGGGGTGGGTGGTGGAGGGACCAGCGAGGGGCTCAGCACGGTGGAGGGGCTGAGGCCAATGGGGAAAAGGGGAGAAAGGACAAGGGCCTTCAACACGGTCCACAACCTCTCTTCAACTCATCACACTCCGTGAGTCCCAGTGGCACGTCCCACGGCAGAATGCCCGCTGAGGTTGGACGAGTGACATAGGTAGTAAAGGCGCCAGCATGTTCCCCACGTGTCAGAGGTTTGGAGTGGCAGGAGGCTGGAAGGAATGGCCAAAGAACAGGAGAAAGAGAGGACCTGGGACCAAGCCGACCTAGTCTGACTGCAAACTGCCAGGGCAGCCTTGCACAACGCATTGCCTAATCCATCAACCAAGGATAATAGGATTCTCACCCTAAAGGGTTGTAAAAAGGATTGCATGGGGGTGGGTGAAATGGGTCAAAAGGTACAAAGTTCCAGTGACAAAACAAATAAATTGTGGGGATGTCATGTACAGCATGGTGACTACAGTTAATAATCCTGCATTACGTATTTCAGAGTATATCGTAAAAGTCCTCATGGAGGGGGGCTGACTAGGTAACAACATTTAGTGACGGATGTTAACTAGACTTATTGTGGTGATCATCTTGCAAGGTATACAAATATGGAATCATTTTGTTGTACACCTAAAACTAATATAATGTTATATGATAATTATATCTCAATTAAAAAAAAAAGGATTGCAGAGCTGTAGAGATGTGACTGTCAATGCCAGGCCCAGGAAGGGTGTTCAGTAAATGATTGTTGCATTATTGTTGGGAGGAAAGGAGTTATTTGAAAGACATGGGGAAGGTAGACTCCAGCGGGTTGGGGACAATTCTTTGGGAGTAGGGTGGGAGTTTCTAGCAAGAGCAGGGTTTGAGCCTGAGCAGTTGGGTGTGGGTGCTCAAGCCGTCGACAGAGAAAAAGACTTCAAGGTGGGGGTGGGGGTGCACTTGTGAGTGGCTTAGGCGTGTAAGCGAGAAGCAGCCAGACGAGGGGGCGGAGCAAGAGGAGGAAGGAGAAGGCAGGAAGGAAGCCCAGAGAAGAGAGGTGAGGGCCAGGAAAAGAGGTGAGAGGACCTGTGGCTCCCGAGGGCCGCGGGGAGCAGGGGCGGGCGCCGAGGAGGCGGGCAGCTGTCAGCGGTGGCGGCAGCAGCGGAGGGAGGCGAGGTCCGCTTAGCGGGCGCAGGAGACGCGGCAGCGAGGCTATCCTCTCCCCGCAGGTGATCCCGCCGCCTGGGGGTGACAGCAGGAGGGATGTGGCGAAGAAAGGGACCCGGGTACTTCGCGCGGGTCGGCAGCGGCCTCCCAGAGTCGCCCCTGCCGATACCTCCCCGCGGTGCTTGGGCTCCCGCAGCGACCCGAGCAAGGGTGGGGGTTTGAGGTCGTGCTGGCAGCCTCTGGCTGGGGATGGCGGCGGATTCCTGCAGGCTGATTCCGCGCTTTGCCCACAACCAGAGAGTGCGGTGACCCCTTCGGCTGTCCCTTCACCACGCGCCCTTGTCAGCACTCCTTCCCCCCGCCCCCACTCCACTGAAGAAGCCGGGGAACCCCAAACCACACCCAGACAGGGGTCGTGGGAGCGGCGCCTGGGAGACAGGACCCTCAGAAGGCTTGCTTAGATGTGATGCTTAGTTGCGTGCGAGGGGACCTGACCACCAAAGCTGAGATGTGTATCTTTGCTTCTTGATTTGAAGCGGTGCCCCAACCCTGACTAATCTATTTTGGCATTGGGTCAGCAAAGACTTCCTGGAGGTCCTCAAGAAACAGGGCGCCCAGGGCCACTCTGACAGCTGCCCTTGGCTCCTCATACACTCGCAGTGAACTGGATGCTGGGTGCCGAGCTGAGGCTTACCGACTCGTCCCTCATCCTTGCCCTTCAGGGTTGCTTTGGCCACTACTCCCACTTCACAGATGAGATAGCTGAGGCGCAGACACATCAAGTCACTTGCCCCAAAGCACAGGGCTAGCAGGGAGTGGCGTCAGAGTCTGAACTCTGTTCTTTCTGATTCCAGGACTTTCCACTCTAGGGCATCATGCGATCTCTACAATAACATTAGGTACCTAAGGTGAAACTTGGTGCAAGTGACGGCCCCGTTGGCTCATATGCCTGGCAGTTTTGTAGGAAATGGAATTGTGTATAATGCGTTCGTTTTGCAGGGAAATCAGTGGCAGTCATGGAGTCCTAGGGCTGCAGGGTGCAGTGGCCATGGGCAGGACAGGGGCTCATAGTCCACCTGGCCTATGTCCATCGTTGCCAAATCACTGTTCGGAGCCATATGACAGCAGTGATTTATTCTCTTTTTAGAAACTCCCTCCCCTCTGTACCAGCTATGCCTTCTTAGTCATTTCAGTCGCCTATTTTGTTTTCTTCTCTTGTTGGTGTTCTCTTGGCCTCAATGTTCACATACTTTAATACTCTTTTTAGGCAATTTTATTCATGTTTCTTGCTGTACCTATCATCTCTATGATGGCAACTTCCAAATTCATCTTTCCAGCCTCCCCCTGATCTGTAATTCTGGACCCAAATCCTCAAATATTCTAATCCTTCCTAGCTAATTCCAGTGTATGCCCCACTGGCACCCAATTTCAACATTTCCAAACTCACATTTATCATCTCTATGCTTCCCACCAGGGTGTTTGTTCAGGTCTTTACACTTCCTTGCCTGGACTATTGCAGCACCTGTCAAATTGGTCTTCATGCCCCGGAGTCCACCCGCCCTCTACAAACTCAAGAATCTTAGCCTTTGGTGTCTCAGACCTGACAGAGATACTAGGTTTTGCTTCCCTTCCTTCCTTCGCACCCTGGCATACTTCTAGGGGAGCCCTTCGCATCTGTGTAACTGCTCACTTGTCTATCTCCCCCTTTACACTGAGTTCCTTCAGCCCTGAGTGTGCCTTATCTATCCTTCCTTAAATCCCCTGGCCTGGCATATAACAGATACTTAATAAATATTTGTGTAGTTAATGGCCTTGTAATGAATGGAAACTCTTTTCAGGACACCATTTATAAGTAGTAAAACATTTCACTGCTTATCCTAGCGTGACATTTCACATTTGTATGTGTTGGTGAGGGAGGAGAATTAGAAAGTGAGTTTCCAGGTGGTTGGAGATTAAGACTAATGACAAAATGAAAGTAAGCTTTCCAAGTAGGTGAGTTGATTCTAAAGGTGTCTTTAATGTTGAGCTAAACACTTGGTCACAGCACAGTGACTCTCTTCTACTTTTCCTTAGACATCCAGTAAGGAAGTAAGCTGAGTACACGCAACTAGAAGAGAAGCAAAGACAAGGTCATCATGGCTTCATTACCTACCGATGGAAACCAAGATAAACCTCCCCATTTGCTGCCACCAAACAAGCAGGTATATTTTTAATTTGGAAGTCTACCATCCGAAGAGGAACATCATCTAGCGCATCCCCTAAACCTCATCTTACTTTTTTCAGTCTGGCACTTTGTTGGGTGGGTTCAGGGAAAAATAGAGTGGGAAGGAAGATGTGTTTTTCTTGGTTTTTTTTT